CGTTTAACGTTAGTTACGTTACTTAGGTCGATTTAGGTTAGGTAGTAAGACACGGAGTTAGTAGACGAACTAAAGTACTCTCCTCGTGTAATAATAGTCGAGCGTGTTACTCTCTCTCTCTCTCTCTCTCTCTCTCTCTCTATTCAGTTACAATTCCAATTCCTGCAACAAAGCTTTCATTTCCGCTTCATTGGCAGAAGCATTACCACATTGCCATGAATAATTTAGCAGCGTCCTTCCCCATGCTCGCTATTCATGTAGGTCTTCGATCCATCAAAATTCAACTTGAGTACACTTCAGCTGGTGCTGCCTTCCAAACATGTAGAGGTCTTCTTTTAGGACCTCCTCCAATTTTAAGCAAAAAAAAATTTAATTTTTTTTAAGCCCCAATAAGCCTTGCTATCAAGCACCCAGCAAATCGTTCTCTATAATTTTGCGTTTTGTTTTTGTTTTTGTTTTTTTAATAAAAATAAATTCTACACCCACAACAAACCTTCAAAAAATTTTATGTTCCTTTCCCACCATTATCTCCCATAGGATAGCAGCATTGCATTGAAAGCACCATTGGGAAAGGGCTCTCTAACTGCAAACCGCCCGGCTAGATCGGAACCGGCCGGGTTGTGAGCAGTTTTGGTGATTGACTGGTATTTTGAAATTTTTTTTCGAAAAAATGTATATAAATTCCCAAAAATAAGGAATTTGGTTTGTAATGTATTTTTTAATATTATTTATATTATGGTAAAGATTAAAAATTATTTTGGTCATTAATAGTTGCTTTTATATTTTTCCCATTTTTTTTAGAAAAATTTTAAAACTTCTCTAGACATAAATCAATTTGTTAAAATCCATTTTTTTCATTAATTGTCAACTTTATTTGAATGTGTTTTGTTTTAATCATTCTTTACATGCTTTTTTTATTTTAGTAGATTTTTTTTTATCTTTTTTTATTGTTTTAACAATTTTTTTACCGCTCGAGTCTTGCTTGGTTAGAGGTTGAATAGGCCGGTTACCAGTTAAACCACTTTCGGGCCCATTCGCAGTTAACCGTTCCGATTCGATTTTACAAACACTAATTGAAAGCCTCCCATACTCCCCAGTTTCGACAATAGAGGTACATTCAAATGATCCAAACAATTAGAAGTTGATATGGGAGGATCCATAAGAACACACGTTCTACTAGCAGCCTACATCCATACATCATAGGTTGCAGCACAGTGCAAACAAAAGATGATTTGTAATCCTAAGGGAATCTCTCAATTGCCAACTCCAAGCACCAATGTCTTTGTATATTTGAATAATGGAAAATGTTTTGATCAAAATAAGTAAAGCTTCATCCCAAAACTCACTAGAAATTACAGTTCTGGCATCGGAAAACCTTGAATCGTCCTGGCCATGACCGATATGGTTTGTAAAAAGAAATTAGGATTTAAAGCCCTAAAAGTAGTACATATTATAACATAGCATCTAAACCGTCCATTTCACCTGCCATGACTGATATGGTTTGTAAAAAGAAATTAGGATTTACAGCCCTAAAAGTAGTACATATTATAACATACCATCGAAACCGTACATTTCACCTTAAAAATTAGTGTTTATGGATCCACAAGATCTGATTGCTATTTTTTGAACTTCAAATCTGCTGGAAATTGTTTTAGAACATATATATTACCGATGCCCAAAGTACTTTGTAGATGAGAATTCAAAGTGAGGCTTTATTTTATTTTCATAAAGCCTAGACTTTATAGAAACTGCATCCATTCAATAATAATAATAAATAAAATGTGGAGCTCGATTGGCCTGGTAGGAATTGCCTGGTTCCTAATATATTCAGGGAACTGAGATGGAATTCTCAGTTTGGGTCACCCAATCCCAGCTAGAATCATTTAAAACATTGGTAATGCCTACAGTAGTAACAAGAATAACAAAACGGATGAGTCCTTCGTTTCTGATTCTAGCAAAACAGACTCAAGCACTTTCATGCACGATGTCCATACCTCATTCATCATCAATTAAAACCAAATTTATCGCTACATTCTCTTAAAAGAAGGGAAATTGATCACAAGGTTTCTGGAGCATTACAGAGGAAATTTAACAGGCAAACAAAAAAAAGGAAATGAGAAACATTACAAAGGAAAATTTGTTCCCAGAAGTTCTCACTGTCCCATGTAAACACAAAATGGTGCAAAGACATGCTGGAAAGGCCTTTACCTATAGATCAAGGAAAACAGAGAACATGGCAGCCACAATTAGTGCCATAACCACTCTGCCCATGCTGTTAACTTGGGCCATAAACGCGCTCGAGTCCTGGTTTTGGGGGTTCCTGGTTCCCGAAGTGGAATTTCCTATAACCGTAAAGACAATATAGGAATATAAAACTAAAGTAGAATAATAAACAAGTATGTTGAATAAAATTAATGGACGAATATGGCATACTGTCTCAAGGATGAAGCTTATGACTTAAGTATGAAGAAAAAGAAGAAACACATGATTAGATAAGATGTATAACAGTAAGCTTTAACCAAATTTTCATCTGACCACAAGGAATTTACATATGGATGAGTAAAATTTATGGAATTACTCTTTGGTTTATATTTAAGCATATTTTACGGTGAGATACCTTTTTCCAAGGGAGTATGGCTTGGATAAAGTTTTCAATCTTATTGAAGATGGCAAGATGAATAGAAGTGGTTTATCGGTTTAGAGGGGGATAACCCGATTTCCAAAGAAACATTAGAAGGGTTGTTGGAAATTAAAAAGAGATGCTTTTTTGGATTCATAAATGGCAATGGGACGCTAAGACATTAGTTTCTGGAATTATTTCAGTTGGTGGTTAATAGATTCTCAGTTTCTGAATTGTATGCTTTATTTCAGGGACAAAAAGTATTTTGGAGCTACATGTTCGTACTAGTACCTAAATCGAGGGTGCGATCAAATGATTTAATAAAAATCTCGGAATTCCTTGGAGTTTGAGAGCTATTTGGTGGGAAATCATGGATTTAGAATGGGAGTTTAAACATTACTTTTTAACATGTTTCCAGAGAGGCGAATCAGGAAGCAGATGTTTTGGCTAAACCAGGAGTTACTCGGTAATTTTAGTTGCCTTGTTTCTATTTTGATGTTCTAATATGTTTCTTTTGAGTCATTAATAAAATATAAGTACCAGACTCATCGTACAACCCTTGCTTTACACCAAAAGGTAAATGGTCTTGTAATTTTCCTGTATAATATGGGAATTGAGCATTAGTTTTACCTGAAGATTGGTTCATGAAGATGGCATACTCTGGAGAAGATGGTGATATGTTGAGTATCTCTGCCCAAAAAGTAAAACATCAAAAGGTATCTGATCAGTGTTAGCTCTTACTATAAAAACAAGGAGACGCATGATCATGACATGGCATATTTTAATGTAACAGTCTCAAGGCATGGATGTTTTGGGTTGAGTCCCAAGTTACATTAAAAAAAATTGGAAAATTTTATCTAAGCATCCACAAGAGATAAATTATTTAGATAGGTATTTTGAAATTAAATCAAAAGACTTGTAAAATGCAAAATAATTCAGAGCTCATGGTTATTTTCATAAATTTACCAAAAACATTATAATACCACCCATTTGATCATGTAACAACATGGTAATGTGGGTCATTACCATCCCCATAGGTACGAAGAGGGTTCACTGAAAGTATCATTAATGACTTGGATGTCCCACTTCGCCCAACACCGTAAAACCCATTGTTTGAACGGTGATGATATGTTCTTTAAATGGTCAAAATGGACCAGGCTACACTTGCCTTTTTGTAAAACCCTTTAGAAAGGTCTTTACCCTCATTGGAAGAGTGATTGTAATCTTTTTAAAAAATCAAAGTAAGGTGAACGGTCAAATAGTATCGAAAGGTGTTGTTTCAGTATTGAAAATCTAATGTAGGTCGAGCATATCTACCGAGACTTGAAAATCTTGAAACTTGACTGTCCAAAAAATACATTGCAAAATGCACTATTTATAAGATTTGAAATCAATTTTTTTTCCTGTCCATATATCTTGAAGTTGAGTTGATTAATTTACAAATTTTTGAGCATCGAACAAACCTCTTTTAATAAAATTTTGAACTGGGCTTTAATTGTTTAGAGCCTTGCACTTATATAAATTTTTTAACTTTTTCGAGCACGCAATATCCAGACAATATCCAATAATAACAAAGATAAATAGTCTCATAACGTACAATCCCATACAATCCCACGTGGAATTAGAGCAGCATTGTGTAAACATGAAAGAGAGAGAGCTCTCCTAACTTCACATTAATGATGTCAGCTCTAAAGGGTACGAAGGTAGGCCGATTAAAAGGACCGAGTTTTTATGAGTCCCCCGGCTCATATTATTTTCTTGCGGGCTCCCTTGAACACCCATTATTTGAGAAAGTGAAAGAGGTGCAGATGACTGGTGATATTAAATGAGCTTGGGGTCACAAATACATACAGCTAGCTTAGTTTCTATCCACCATTCATCATGGAGTGGAAATGCATGTACCTTTGATGTAAAATCTATAAGAAACTGTGTTCTATTTTTCTCATGAAACAAATTAATTACAGAGATAATATCTTCATATCTATTATTTCTAAATTTTATTTACTAATAAATCTATAATTTCAAAAAATATCTTCCAATCCTTTGATCACTTCAAATCTATTTTTTAACCTAAACATACGTGAGAAAGATATGCTTATTTTCTTTTCATTTATATACCCAATCTTCTCTCTTTTTCTTTTTTATTGAGTGTTTCACTCTCTCTCCTCCTGTGTTTATCCAAACACATTTCTTTCTCTTCCTGATAACCTCTCATCACTAAGTATCTATTTCCTCTTGTGTTTATCCAAGCATCCCTTTGTTTATCCAAACATATCTCTTTTCTACCCGTAACTTCTCATCACCAAACACCTCTTTCTTTTCATGTGTTTATCCAAACATCTTTCTTTCTCTCTCTATCTACCTACTGTGTATTTGGGAGGATAGAGAGTGAGAAGAAAGATGGAAACGTGAAGAGATAGGGAAACGAGAGAGAGTGAAGAGTTAGAGATGGGAAAGACGGAGGGAGAGAGGGGCGGGGAGAGAGAACGGGACGAGAGAGAGAGAGTGAGAAGTTAGAAATGGGAAAGACCGAGAGAGAGAGAAGGGGGCGGGGAGAGAGAAAGGGAGAATTTTGGGTCGATGACTTTTAGAAAATGCATATTTTATTAAAATTGTTTGGCCTAAGAAAACATGTTTAAAGTAGAAAGTTGGAAGAAATAAAATCCACAATTTTTATGTCCTAAGATAATTTTTAAAACCTATCGAGATATTTTCCCTTAATTATATAAGGTAATTTTTTTTTTTTAAAGGAAAAAAACTTGTGATATTCTTAAATCAAAACTTTAGCTTTCGTTAAAACTTATACCAAGAACAAAAGGATAAAGAGGAAGAATCGATTGATGCTAATTAAGACAGACTTTTTATTTTCTTCTTAAATAAGAAATCTTGCTAGACTTTTACAATCCTATATTCAGAAAGACATATTTTTCACAATTTTTAAACTCCATAGCCCAAACCAGTGTGCAAAAACTCGGACGAGCCAACTCGGACTCACCCAAGTAATCCTAGTACCCCGAGTTGGGTAGTCCGACTTTGGAATCTTCAAAAAGATTTAAAAACTATAAAAAATCTAAAAAGTAAAATTTATTTTTATAGTTTCTACTATTTTGGCAAAGATTTGAAAATGAAAGTGCTTTGACCATTAATACTTATTTTTCAATTTTCCTTCTATTTATATTATTTCTAAAAATACACCAGTTACAAATTGTTTTTCCAAAATCCGTTTTTCTCATTACTTTTTTCACTACTTTTGTAACCTCATGTACATGTGTTTTGTCTAATTTTTCTTCTAACATGCTTTCCTAATTTTTTGGATTTTTATATGGGTGCGGTTTGTATAAAGCTGAGGCTCTAAACAATCAAATTAGAGCCCATCTTTAAATAGTGTCGAGAAATATGGTTTCAATAGTGAAAAAATTTATGATAGTCTTAAATTATATCCTCATATTTATTTATAAAATTCAAAGCTTAAAAGACAGTGTCGCTTGAAAATTGACGGTCAATAAATGCGTTATAAGATGTACTATTGATATTGAGATGATCAATATGATGATATTTGAGTATCAAAACAACCTCTTCTAGTGAAAATTTGGAGGTGGGTTCTAATTTGATTGTTTAGAACCTAAGCTCTATATAAACTTTTTCCATTTTATATATCGTTATTTTTTAAGACTTTTTAGCTTGCCAGGACCGTCCCAACTCGAGCTGAGTAACTCAAACTCTACCCGAGTTACTCAGCTCAGACATGAGGCGACTCCCGTCCCCGAGTCTTGCTGTTATAGACCAGGCAAAACAACTTGCCAAGATTTTGATACATGACTATACGAATAAATTAAGCTAATCAGCAGTATTTCATTGCTTTCTGACTATATTATTTGCTTTATTTTTTTATTTTTTTTATAGCCTTTTTTATGAGAGGCTATATTTTGTTGATATAGTTAGTTACTAAAAAAGTAAGAGCACAAAAACTTACTTGGGCATTGGGTGACATTGGCATTAATCTTGCAAACAGTAGGGAGTTGAAGGGTTCGAGTGAGATCAAGATTCAAACTCTTCACGGTGCGGTCGCCATTGACAATGAGCCTGAGCAAGTAGCACAAGCACAGGACTGACCTCTCCTCCACATCTGTGAGCTTGGTGCAACACTCTTTAGTAGGGGAGGGGTCGCTCTTTTGAGTATAGGGCAGGCATGGCATCAGGTTGTTGACCTCAGCTTCACATTTTGCGGTATCATTGGAAGCTGAAATAGAGAGAGATGGAAGAGAGAAGAAGATGAATGTGAAGAAGAGAGGGAAGAGAAGGTTTTCAGTCGTCACCATCTTGCCTGGTTTCAAATATGGAGGATGGGTTTGTTGTTAAAGTAGAGAGAGATGAAGGACAAGTATGGGTTTCTGTTAAAAGTAGAGAGAGAGAGAGAGAGAGAGGGGGTTGTTAAAAGGGAAGTAAAGAGTGTTTAAGGCATTGGAGGCTATGCAAGATGGGTAGATGGGAAATGAACAGTTGGCAGGTCATTTAAGTGGGCAGGTGAAAGAAGTTAATGGTGCGTTGTTGACAAACGGTGATGTTCACCTATGGAATAATGGTTTTAGAAAAAAAGGAAGTTAATTGAAAGTGAAAGATAATGATGAGTTGCAGGGGCTTAAGAACCTCAAGAGTTGGTGGCATTTGGTGGTGAAACTTAAATCTTTTGCAGATTCAAAATGGAAAGAGCGAGAGAGAGAGAGCGGGCAAAAGGTATACTTCAAAGCAGTGTTTTTAGAAATTGGGGATTTCTGATCGATTTAGATGGGAATCGGTCAAGATTGACTCTATATATTGTTCCGATAGCTCGCAGCATGAATAATAATATAGGTGAAATGAGAGTCGTCATATCTTCGTAATGTGGTTTAGAATATATATTGATATATGAATTTTAATATTTTTTTTTTAAAATCGAATCATAATGAAATTTTAGACATGTATATTGAAAGATATGGCACACAATTAAAAAATATTTTTCAAAATATAAGATGATCGAAATACCCTTGAAAAATGATAGGAGGCAATTTGATCATTTTAAATTATTGAAAATAATTTTTTTATATTTTTATATGGTACGCAATAGTGTTAGGTATACATATGCAAAATTTTATCTTAATCAGATTTATATAAAAAAAAAAACTAAAATTAAAATAGTAATATGCATTCTGAACCACATGATGAAGATCTGACGGCGAGATTCCACCTCTATTACTATTTATTATAGCTGTTGATGTTTATTAGCTTGATTTTTCAATATATATATATATATATATATATATATATATATATATGAAAAACACTGCACAACGCTTATAGGCGAAAATGAACAGTGATTCTGCCTATGATCATCATTGTCTAAAGTTCATCGCCCGGGTACAATTGTCCAATAGTACTTCAATTTTCATTTTTTTTTTCTATAAATTGAAGTGATTTGAAATTTGGAGTGTTTATTCATCAAAAATAGGATAACCTAATAAAATATAAAACAAATAATTTGAAAAACATAAATTAATTGATCAAAATACCCCTGTAAATTTATCGAGGTATTTTGGTCACTTTATATTTTTTAATTAGTTTTTTATATTTTTATTAGATGTGGCTCACTAAGATGTACACGCGCTCCAAATTTCAGATCATTTTGATTTGTAAAAAAAAATTAAAATCGAAATATTAATAGACAACCGTGATCGTACAATAAACTTTGGACGGTGATGAACATAGGCGAAATCACTGTTCATTTTCACCTATAGGCATTGGGAAGACCTTCTTTCTCTCTCTCTATATATATATATATATATATATTCGTTTATTTGATTACTTATTCAACGGTGATGCCCTTTCTATACACCAGAGCCCCTCTCATTTAATCAATGTTATTGATAACTCATGCAATTCATACTATTTGGCTTTACCCATCAACTTTCTAATTAAAGGTCTTTTTACAATAAAATCTATCCACATAGTGATGACATTTAATTTTGAAAATTGTCAAGGTAGCTGACCTTGTTAGTCCACTTTTGCATCAGTTAATAACATAATCTTTTCTTTTTTGAAAAAAACCAGTTCCCTTGCTTAATGGATACCCCTTTACTACCGAGGTGGAATTGTTTATAATCTTATATGAACGTGATTGGATTTGCACCAATGGAAACCACAAATCCATAAGCAATAAAGATAGATGATAGATATTTTTAGAGAGTGCATGGAATTCTTCCATTCTATTCATTGCTATTGGAAAAATCGTTAGTTTTTTTTAGCTCATGATCTGAGTGAGTCGCACATATACCCTAGTCGTTGAGGGCATCCTTGAAGAGCCGGAGATTTTGAAACATTTCTAATTTACTGTCTTGTGTTCTTAATAAGTTGTAATAAGTTGTTTGATAGTTGATATATTGAATCATATACAAAATCAAATGGTTTGGGAATTACTTTTTATATAATATATTCTAATCCTATTAGAATTATTTTATCCCCCTCTAACTCGGTAAGAAGACAAAATATCACCGGTCATTCTCTCTCTCTATATAATGTTTTCTTGAAGCCCTATTTTAATTTTTTAATTTTATTTTTAAAATTTTTGAAGATCACTGATTTGGATCGTTCTAGATCGCAATCCAACAATGAAACATGAATCTGTGGGTGAACTATCCTCCCCAATAATCAGGGTTTTAAGTCACGGTTGATCATAGAAAATTTGAAATAACATCCTCGTGGAATGCAAGAGAAAAAAACACAAACAGAATGAAATATGGATAGGAATATACGTAAATGGCGCGTTAGAAGACTTGGCCTTGCCCCAGCGGGCAAATAACACTTTAAAAAAACTAGTGGTGTATAGGTGCTTTGCACGTAAAAATGTAAGCAATGCATGTAGTAATGGCCAAATAACACTTATAAAATACTTTTAAGTATTAAATAGAAAATAATACAATAAGGAAAACAATTCCTTGTCACGAATTTAGTCAAATAATATTTAAATGACATAGGTTATGTTATTCACATGAAGAACACATGAAAAATTTAAAAGTGTTAAAATATACTTTTAAGTGTTAAAGAATTCCTCGTCATGAATTTAGCCAAAAAAAAAGAAAGAAGTGACATTTTATTTTCTATGAAAAATACACTATATTAACTTAGCGAGAAAAAGCAGAAAGATCAAAAAAAAAAAGAAAAAAAAACCATATGACTTAAAATGCAAGCTAGGAAAAAGTGGTAAAGCAAGAGATAAATAATGGAGAATCGGATAATTATGAAAAATATCTAGGCATACTCTAAAATTCTTCTGGAAAAGTATGAACACTGAAGGTGACTCCTAAATTTCAAAAGCATAAGAAATAGTAAAAAATTTAAAAAAAAAATTCTAAAAAATCAATTGAAAGGATAAAAAAATTCCTAATAAAAATATAAAAACTACACCACAATATATACATCTATTGACAAATGCCAAAGAAACAAAACTAAATTTCTATCTCTGTAGTAAAAACAAATAAAATTATTTTTTAACATTCTAAAATTTTATAAATTTCTCTATCTCTGTAGTAAAAACAAATACAATTATTTTCTAAAATTCTAAAATTTTAATAAACATAAATATTAGCTATAAATAACCGTGGCAGTATAATAATGATAAAATTATATTTAAAGTATAAATATTCTATTAATTTTTTTAAGGAGCGTGAAAACTCCTACATAAATAGCGCTACTATAGGGGCATATGAGAATGAATTCTCAATAAATAATTGTAGACATTTATTAACATTATTAATTTTATTATATATTTCATTATAATTAAATGAATAATGGTGATAATTACTTATTTATTATTATGATTCGATTGATAATTATATTAATATATTACATATAATTTATTTACTATTTATTGAATATCCCTTCATATTAAGAAAATCAATATTCTTAAATATACACAGGCATTGCTTTTCTAAAATTCTTGTTGCGAACTTCAAAGGAATTATAAATTCTCAAGAATTTGGTGGAATAATTATCTTTAGCAGAATTTGTTATAAAATTAGATCGTAATAAAGGATGTGGTTTCTATGAGTCCAAGGACTCATATGTAGAAATGAGTCCCCTCTTAAAAACCTATTTTTGAGATGGATTTTGGACTAATTCTTCAGGAATATAATCTCTACCGTTGATATCATGAATATGTAAAGAATTAATAAATTTTAAAACAAAAATAATTCAGTCCCAAATATTAAATAATTTCAAATTAATCCATTGTTAATATGTAAAAATCAAATATAATTCAATCCCAAATATTGAATAATTTCAAATAAAACATAATATGTTTTTATTTGATTTAAAATGAAACTAAATGAGCAAGATTAGAGAGAGAGAGAGATTCATCTTGCCGAGAGAGAGTTTCCTAATATCAAAATGCAGAAAAAAAAAAAAAAGAAGAAAAAAACAGAGAATCTCTTAATATAAAGTTTATAGGTGTAGAGAGCAATGCTCTTAGAAGCCGGATTGGAGGAAAATACCATAACTTTTCTTACTTATCTGGAATGGAATCTAGATAGGAAAAACATTTCCAAAATTATAACAAATAACCCATAGAACTTGCTCAAAATCATCTCTTCTCCTAAAGTAGGGAGAGATATCCAAAAGAGACATCAGGTGCCCTAAAGTCTTTTTTTTTTTTTTTGAAGGTCGTGTGTCCTAAAACCTCTATACGGATGGATCCCTTTTTATTCTTCCACCATGTGTCCACGTCTTAAGTGTTGCTTAATAATGTAGTATAGTATAGATAAAAAAATATAAAAAATTAGAAAACACAAGTATCATCATCATCGTCAAAGTCCTTTCCCAACCAATTGGAGTTGGTTGGAGAGCACAAGTATATGGGTTAGAAATCTCTTTAGAAGATTTTGTTAGTTTTTAAGATCATTAAGAAACTTTCTTATTTTTCTTTTTTTAGTTTTTATGAAATATTCAAGGTATAAATCCAGATTTTCAATAATCCATCTTTTATATATTTTTACATCTTCTTTAGTATGTTCTTTCTTCTTATTTTTAACAATTTTTTAGAAATTTATCCTTTTTTTTTACTTTTTTTAAAATTTATTTTTGGATATTTGTTATACAATTGCGTCAACTTGCTCTCAACCAAGTTACTTGCCTCAGCCAAAGGATGAGTACCTTCGACGAGGTGATTTCCAAAAACATTGAGTTCATGATTGACCTTGAGTAAGATAAAGCAAATGCAGTTAACTTGTTTTATGCATAGAGTGGTATGCATAAACTTTTGTTGGATTTATGTGACCTTTCAAAGCCTTGACACTGTATGTTAACTCAAGTTGGAATATGTAATCCGAGTTACTCACCAGGCTTTATGGTCTGCGGTCCGCTATTGGTGTCTAAAAAGTCCCTAAAACCTTGGATCCTTTTC